GCCCCCCATTTCCTCCTCTCTCTCAGGAGGGAAATGTAAGTGTGCAGGAGTGGAAATGTTGCACAGTCGAAGGGAAGTGAATGGACGAAGAAAGCAATGTTATTTGTGGAACAGTGAGGCCCGTTGGCTTAAAATAAACTCACACAAAATGACTTACTGGAAACTACTCAGTCCTCTGCTGCTGATTAATGCCTCATTTGTCTATGGGCACAGAGAGTGTTTGAGAGAAGGACAGAGGGAGAAAGACTAACTTTTGTTTAAACCAAGGTCATTGCGTGGCCAGCTGCAAGGCCCTCTATCTACCCCTGGGATCTGTCTTTCCTATTGGACATCCTGTTCCTGATGAATTGTCACTCTTCTCATTTAAGAGAAGACAGAGGAAGCAGGACACTGCCAGGACACACCCACTCGTCCTCGCCGGCCAATCGCCTCGCTCCAGTTGTCGAGCATCCTTCGCGCTCAGAAAACCGCAGCTGCCACAGGAGCTCCGCCGGCAGATTTTTTGTTTGTGTCCTTCCTTCCCTAATCTCTGACCACACACACTTGTTCACTTGTGACAGCCAGCCTGATGCCTCTTGGCCCTGGCCGAGGCCACCAGCCCCCCCCCCCCTTCTCCACAGTGTCTTCTGCACCGCCCTGAGACATCTGTGTGATGTGAGGCAAATAAGCAGGAAAGCTGGGGGAACTTCCGCATCAACTGCTAGAACAGAACAAGGGGGCCCCCACAGCAGAGTTATATAACAGTCAGACATCTAGCTTTTTACGCTCACACGAAGAACATCATTCTCTTTTGCAGACGCGTGCCGAGATCTCATACCGGGAACATGGACATTATTTTATATGCATGCATGTTTTGTTTTTACAGTCTGGAATCCAGGGAGAGATAGGACAGATGCAAAACTCATCTTATCCAGATATTGTGATTCCTTCTAGACATGAGGTTTGTTCACTGTGAAATGGAAGAGGATGTGATCTCACCCAATTAAAATCCAACCTATGTCGCTCGCCGCTTATGACTTATTGCAGGCTTCGCCTTTGTGCCAAGTGACCCTACCCAGCAAACATGTGTAGAAAAATTTGTAGATCGAGATTTATAGATTTATATATACGTGATTTGAAAATACGAAAATGAATAGCAAAAAGCAAATTCAAGGTATTTGTCACATTGTTAAATGAAAACATTGACATTTTGAGGAATACGGTTATTTTCTTTTTGGCGACGAGTTAGATAAGAACATCGACATATTACCACTGTTGATAAGTCCGTTAAATATGAAGCTACAGCCAGCTTAGCTTAGCTTAGCAAACAGACCAGAAACAGCTAGCCTGTCCGACCATAACAAAATCCTTCCAAAACAAAATTAACAGGTTATATCTCATTTGTTTAATCACAAACAAAAAAACTAAGTTTAGTTCTGTTGGACAGAGGCATGCTTCCTACGTTTAGTCTTTATAATAAGCTAAGCTAATCGGCTGGTAGCTGTAGCGTCATATTTAACGTACACATATGAGAGTGGTATAAATCTTCTCATCTAACTCTCTGATAGAAAATATGTTTCTCAAAATGTTGAACTATACTGTGATTTTTTTTAAGCAGCAACGTAGAGCATTTTGCATAACAAGCCTATAGAACCCCTTTTGTTCAAAGTGAACCCTCTTTCTCTCCCCTCTGTCTGCTGTTACTCCTGAGTGCATGAAGGAGAATAGGGCAATGTTCTCAGAGGCTCTGGTAGGAGTGAGGGATGCAAGCTGCCGGACGTCAGTCTTGTATACAGACTTAATGGAGGAGAGGGGGGGATTCAGCAGTGACCGTGGCCCAAACTGTAGAAAAGAAACCCTCTTGTGTTCACGACCCAGACGACTAAAGACCAGGCCCGGATGTTGCTATCTGTCCCATCATTGTCTCCTCAAATGTTGGCATTTCAGTCTGAATGATGGCTTTCAGTTTAGCCAAAACATTCCTAAAACACAGTGTGGAAAACACCCTCTTTTTCCTGTGCTGATTTGACGACGCTCCATTTGTTTTCTAATCTCGCTGCGTAGTCGAGTGCAAATTAGCTGGTTGCGCCACAGGGCCTCCAATCACAGTTCAAGGATTGATTGCAGGGGTTTACTCAAGCATTAAGGAAGTGGGATTTACACATCAAATAAAATATAATTATGAGATGGTGGGTAGAGACAACCGCAGCCACTGTTGGGAGCAGCGTTGCTCCAAACAGTAATTTCACAGGTCCTGCACATGATTTGTCGAACTTCTCCTGGAAAGCACCTTCTTTTCCCCTCCGCCACTCTGCAGTGAGTGGCTGTGAAAGGCTGGCTTTGATGCGTGACGTTTGTGATAGAGACCTGCTCCACGCTGCTGATAGCCCGACCAGAATAGCATGTGAAAGAGCCAGAAGAAGAAACTATGCATGAACATTTATGTCGCCTACTTTTCATGTTTGGGAACAGGTGTTTAATCCACTTCCAGCGGGGTGTAATCAGTTGATGTGAATGCATATAGTATGCAACCACGTGACAGACAGAAGCCACTTTATCGACTCTGCTGGCTGAGCTACACCAGCCATCACTCAGCGCTGGGAGGAGTGTTCGCCGCTGTTCACACCACAGCATTCCAGCCATAGCATCCTCTTCTCTACCGTCGGTTAAGTCAAACAGCCGGCTTGACTCAAAGCACATGGGCAACCTGTAATCAAGCCCGGCTCTGAAACTGGCATGTAAAAGTAAATCCTGTGTTTATATCTGAGAGAGGCCTCCCTCATTGAGCGGCTTGCACAGGAAACACATAAGATGATGTTAAGCTTCGAAACAATCTCTGGGATTAAAGATCTTGACAATCACCCTCCACCTCTTCTCTCTTTCTCTGTTTTTGTCTCTTTCTCTTCATCTGTGGCGGTCTGCCCATCTCCGGGCCCCAGTGCTCTGGTGGGTTGAGTGGACTGGTATGCAGCAGGAATCTTTGGATCAAGGTGATTTCACGCTCCTCCACGTTTTCCCAGGGCTTCGAGCGCTCCTACCTCTGTGCAGCGCGGAGTGTGTGATAGCGGCTGACATGTGTTATCATAGGACACATGCACAAACAGCAGCAACAGGGTAAGGCTGCTTTATCCGACTAACACCTCTGTTTCCCTCAAGTGTCGGGCTTTGAATGTCTGGTATGGGAGGCTTCTTTGGCCTGTTGCGGAGAGACCCCTTTTGAACAAAAACAAGGACCCAGGGATTTGTCAGCCCCTCCATGAACTGACTAAGGGATAACCCTCCGACGTGAAATCTCAATTTTAAGAGGAATCTTCTCAAATATACACCCCCTCCTTTGAAGTAGAACTAATCTTGCTAACCTTGACATTCCCTCCGAGACAGTTCCCACTCTCACTTCACAGTCTGCTCTCATAATAGCTCCACAGTGCTTTTTTTCTCTCAATGAAACCCCATATCTCATTCAGCTCTTCGGTGGCGACTGTGAAAGGGGGAAGTTTGTGAAGTCGTTCCAACGAGAAGTGGTTCAGCTCAGCTCCTGTCATTCTGCTGAACTGACAGTAAATATGCTCACACGAGATCGGAAGCAGCAAATTTAGACGTGTAAAAAGTTTACTTGTGCATGTTTTGATGCCTTTGATTGTGAATTTAGCACAATCAAAGGGATGACCAATGCCGTCCACACCCTTCACCGTACGGATGTGTGCAACGTCACAATGTGTCCCATGGATCCCAGCTCATGTGGCAGGACTATGATCTCATTAAAAGCACCAGTGGTTTCATAGAGGTTGTGTACTGAATTAAATCAAAAGTTGCAGGTGATAGCCTGTATTTGGACCACTACAGCTAACTAGAATGAAGCTTAGCTAGCTAGGAGACATCTGACTAGTAATCCAGCTAACTTTCCACTCACTTTAAATATGATTTGTCTTCTGACGTAATGTTCCTACTTCAAGTGTTCAAAATGACAATACAATCAATGAGAAAAAAGCCTGTACAACTAATAAATATACAGCACATTTGTAGCTGTAAAGAAATGACTTGGAAACCCTGTGTGAGTTGAATGAGAGTTACAGTATTTCATGATCAAATTAGGAGATAACTTGAATGCAGAGGACCTGCAAGCTAGCAGTGGTTACTGGTGTCTGCATGTATGGACTTCTCTGCAGACATTAACAAGGGGTTCTGTAATTTGTTTGCAGTCAGTCCCTGATTCCTCACATACAGTAGCTATGTCGGGCCATCTGGGTTGGAGATATACAGGGCTGTTGGCAGACAGTGCAAAGTGCTGATTTGTACCATAAACTGTATATGATAATGTAAACAGTCTATGATTTCCATACAGCAATGCTCTTGTTGGTATTCATTCTTATGCTGCCTTTTTACAATAACCTAAACACAAGTTTTGCCATTAATATTGCATGATCTATATAGTGATTTAACCCACTAAATCTGGTACAATAGGCTCTTCTTTTTTTGTACATTCCCTGACAAATAAATGTCATCAACTAAACTAAGTTTTAATTGTCATTGTTTTTTCCATTGTTGGCAAGATGACAACAAACTGGGTTTTTAAATTTTACCGGCACAATCCCTTTTTTGAGGGGATTTATGTGTTATTTTTCTGTCACTTAAATATAAGCACATCAAAATAAATTCGAAAGTAAATTAAAGTAATTAATCTAATCTAACATTAGTTGTTGTCATTTTAATTAGATATTTCAGTTGTCTATTATGATGATAATGCTGCACAAACTTGCTTTTGCCTTTGATTTATATAATAAGCAACTACCTAATACTCTCTAACATCTTGACTGTATTTATTTACTCTGTAGTTATACTATATTTCATGCAGAGGCATCTAAAGGCACCACATAAGTAGGTTGTAGGAAGTGGGGAAGCAGATGAGACCTACGTCACAGTCCGCGTGTCTGCGTCGTTCAAAGTATTCTTAAAACACTAGAGCGAGACCGGAAACCATGCGAGCAGTTCCAAGAAGAGCAGCAGTTAGAAAGGAAGGGTTGGTGCCGCAGCTGCTTTTATTTTGAAAGCCGTCACCGGATGTTGTCTTCCTCGTTGCGTCCGGTTTGACTCCGAGCAGGCAGCCGCAGAAGAAGAAGCAAAACTGAGAGGCAGCAGGACTGGAGCAAACCCAGCAGTCTCAGCCTCATGCTTCACTCTGGGCACTTCTCCTCCTCCTCCTCCTGCTGCCCGCTATCGTCAACATTGTGACAATATTTATTTTGTATTTGTATTATTTAGCCACAAAAAAAGCAACAAAAAAAGTGGAGGGGGGGAGAAGGGTCGCCGAGTCATGGAGCTTTATTGCCTGGAGTCGGACATAGTCGTGAGAGCCCAGCCTGACCCAAACATCCTCTATGATGACAGAGTGTTGCAAAGTTTATTAACAATTGAGGACAATTTTTTACCTCAATGCTCTTACTTCCAGCGGGTCCAGAAGGATATTCAGCCTTATATGAGACGAATGGTTGCAGGTTGGATGCACGAGGTTTGTGGGCATTTTATGCATTGATGTGCTAATCTAACTGCTTCCGCTAATGTGTGCTTTTTATTTGTTTTGCATGTTGACACACATATTCTTGGAGTTTTAGTCTGTAGAGAGTTGTCAGGGGATGGTAACCTATTTGACAATTGAATGAGAATGACTCACCAAAGGCGTGGGAGAGTCGGAAATTCCACCACGAAGAAAGTTCAGCTTCAAAGAAGTAGTTTAGCTAGATATTTACTTTGTTTAACAGCTACAAATATGGTGCTTTTTGCTAACTAGCTAGCTCAGGCGTGTGAGGGGAAGTTAATCTTAATTTACAGAGTCGAAAAACCGACAGTTCCCGTTTTTGAATAATTATTATTAATTTTTTGAAATGGCTCATGCTCTTTGGCTTTGGTCTGGCAACGTGCATGCAGAACCACTTTCACGTTTGAAGGTGAAATAACGAAATGTCCGCAAAATATATACGTTTTTTAACCGTCGGAAACTATTTTAACATCATTTCTTAACATTGTGCACACGTTTTAAAGTACCTAGATGGTACATTTTTATTTTTAAATATTTTTTAAAGAAGGCGAGCCTCAACAAGGAAGAGGAGTTTAATGGCGACATTTTGCTGAACGACTTCCTATTGAACTAATTTGTTTCTGCCTTGTCCTGACTTTTCTAAAGTGCTATGAACATTTGTGATTTAACCTTTAACCTTAAAACAAGACTGGCATGGCAAAATCACATTCTTCAGCAAAAAAAACACCCCACCATTAACTGCTCCTCTGCTGCAAAGCAAAAATACTCCTCCTCTATAGGCTACTTTTCTTTTATATTCTTTATGACTTTACTAACAACCTATTTTTTCTGTTGCATTTCTGTCTCGTTTTAGGTGTGTGAAGAGGAGAAGAGTGATGAAGATGTCTTCCCTTTAGCCATTAATTATTTGGACCGGTTTTTAGCGGTGATGCTCACAAGAAAGAGTTATTTGCAGCTTCTGGGAGCTGTGTGCATATTCCTGGCCTCCAAGTTAAAGGACTGCAGCCCGCTGTCAGCGGAAAAACTCTGCATGTACACAGACAACTCCATCACACCACGGGAACTGCTGGTAAGAACCGGACATTTCAAAGGCCCCATTCATTCACGAGAACATGAAAAATGCAGTGTCATATTTTTTGGGATGGTTCTGTAAAGCTAATGGCTCTATTGGTTTCACAGGAAGTATCCCATTTGCCTTATAAGTGGAGCTGTGCACAATACAGCCACATCCTTTCTTTGGATCCACTGTGGACTGAAGAGATGAGTGATGCCATCTAGTGCTAGTCATGCAGTACAGAATTAAAATATCTTGCAGTTCATGGACTTGCTTTGTATTTTAGGTAGATACTGTATGAGGGTTTATACTAAAGAATCAGCCAAAATGCTCTTTAGTCTTACCTCCACACATCGATGCGAGTGTTAAACAAGAAGAGTATATTTCTTTATGTTTACAGGAATACTTTTCATTCTTTCTTACCAACTTCAGGCTGATTTAATGAACTTTAGAACCAGAGTGTTCAACACAAGCTTGCTGAGTTCTGTTTGTACAGTAAAGTAGCCAGCACATTAGTGCTGAAACTATCATTTTCATTATCAATAGTTTTATTGATTCATCAATTGTTCTATAAAATGTAAGAACATTGTGTAAAATAGCCATCAGCGTTTTCAAACGCCCAGGTCGACGTCTTCAAATTGCTTGTTTTGCCCGATCAGCAGTTTATAAACCAAAGCTATTAAGTTGACTAAACTTAATAGCTTGAGTGTTGACTAAACAACACTCAAGGTCCACGTACAACCTTGTTCTGGAGCTTTCTACCGTAACACACGGTCCTCATCAGCAGGTTAAGCAGCTTTATCACCATTAACTGCGTTAAAACAGTTGAGAAAGTGATCATTAGTTGCAGCCTTAAAAGAAAAAGCAGCATATCCTCTCATTTGAGAAGCTTTGATCAGGTGATGTTTGGCATTTTACAGTTGGCTTCTTTAATTTAAACCAAACAGCCCCACATGCTGTCGATACGTCCTCCTGTGTCGCATGCGGCTGTTGAGGGAAATGACATTCGTCCCATTTGATGCTCCATATTGTCGTTAGGCTCCAGATTCCTGGATATCCTGACAGGATGCGCAGAGAAGGCCTTTAGAGTCGGTCAAAGACGTTACAGCTCTTCCTTGTAATGAACAGTCTGCTACTGGGGCTTCAGATGGAGGAGACAAGTTCAAGGGGGTGGAAGGGTGGTTGTGTCTGGGGGTGGGGTGGGGTGGGGGGGGGGGGGGGGTGGTGGTGGTGAAGTGTCCAGGAAGTGCACGCTCCGACAGCAAACCTCCGCCTCGTTCACCTCACAGTCAACAATCTCCACAAGGGCTAAGGTTCCATGCAAGCGTGTGTGTGGCAGGTTATGTGCAGGAAACCCACCTAAATGTGAATGATGGCTGACATTTCAGATGACAAATACGCGCTTGGTGACGGGGGGACTGTCCCTGTCCTCTTTGGGGTTTCAGTGTTTACTACTTTGGCTTTTTCGGGGAAACTTCTCCGAAGAGCAAGTGAGCAGTTGACTTCATGAGTGTGAAAATGTCCCATTAGTAAAGTTAACCAGTTTAGCTTCTTTTAATGCACAGTTGCACTCTTTATGGATGTAATCATAACGTTTTATACACTTAGATTAATGAAATACACTTCAATTAGTCTTTTAATCAGCCTCGTCTTTCCCTTAATTGCGGGCACATAAATGTGTAAAATTAAAAGAAATACAAGCATAAAATTAATGTAAAGTAATGTGATGAGCTGTCATGTTCTTATGGGTAACAGATAATCTGAAATCATAATGAATGACTGATAAAGTCCTCTGCATATGGCCGACATCATTGTCTTCAAACTGTGAAGTGACAATACATGACATCATGGCGAACCAAAGGAGGAACTAAACCTTTACAGGCCGACTCCGATGCTTCACTGCAGCAGGACTTTAAATTTGGAAATTGAGTAGGTTTAAAGAGAGATAGAATCAGGACTTTACATTTTTTTTTTTTTTTTTGGTGAATGCATTACTTCACAATGCTGAGCAAGATTTAAGAGTGTGTCTCTCCAAGTCTCTCGTCTTTACTTGTGGAGGTTTGAAGAAAAATCCCATGAATAAATTGGCATAGCAAGACTTATGGAAACCCTGGAGAGGCCATTTGATTGGCTGGTGTCCCTGGGTTTTTGTTGCTCGGGTGCAAATATGTTCCTCATGTAGAGTTTCACTCATTCTGATATGATAGCTCATTCTGTCTGCGCTTTTCTAACCAACTTTTGTGCTTAATTTTCTTCAGGCCTGTGTGTTTTTTACATTATTACATCATAAAACGCAAACTGCATGTGTGCAGGTACGCCTTTTATTATGAATACTTAAGTTGCATCCTCCTTCTAAATACAATACTGGAACAGGGAAACATTAAGACATTAGTAAATGCGGAATTGTGTTCAACACACAGGACATTAAATCACGAAACACCTTTCTTGTTGCTGCAAAAGCCGACTGTATGAAGAGTCTGTGCTGCTGCCTGTGCAGAGCGAACTCATTGTAGCTGTTTGAGGCTTGTGACAGGAAGGAAGGGGCTAGCTGTCTCATTGGCAGGGCAAAGCTTGTCACATGCCGGCTTTATGAACACAAAGGATGTGAGGAATGAGAAAGGCACGCAGATAATAAGACACAGCGAGGAGAGATAAAGTGAAGAAATGTTACTCTTCTTACAGAGCCATTTCCTCTGGGAAAAGGGACAGGCTCTGATCTTTCTTCACGGTCAATGGAAGCATGGCAGCATGCCATTTAACCCTCGGACTGAGAAGATTCTGCCAAGAGACTGAATCTGAACTATCTGACACTTTTTGTTTAATTAACTTCTGTCTTTTAGGACTGGGAGCTGGTCGTGCTGGCGAAGTTGAAGTGGAACATGGCCTCGGTCATCCCCAATGATTTTATAGAGCACATCATGCGCAGGCTCCCCCTCCCCAAAGACAAGCTGGTGATGGTCCGCAAACACACGCAGACATTCATCGCCCTCTGTGCCACAGGTAACGCAGCTGCAGATCATCTCATGAGCCTTTTTCCGATTTGTTTGCTCACTCTCACGCTCACTTTGCTGCCTTGTGATTCCCACATCCAGCAGAGTATTCCCACACACACACAAACATTCTCCCACCGTGAGTCATCCGTGACCTCTTTTTCTTTTCTCGGCGTACTCTGCTGGCTGCCTTATCCACGTTCTAGTCTCCGCCTGCAGTGGGGCTTTTACCTCACAGCTGCTAAAAGCTGCTTAAAGTGGTCATTTCCACATTTCTCTGCCAAGAGTTGGAGTGGCAAAAATCATATCAATGCACTGCTTGGATAAACCATGTATGTGATTAACAATAGCGATTGTATCATACTGTACTCTAGCGCTGTGTGACATGGGTGCAGCTGAACTCGGTGTTGTTTGTTGACATGGAAGCTTCCAGGTTTAAAAAGTCGTGACAGTGATCCTTTCTTCCTCCTCCCACCCCGGTCTCATGTCCAAAATAAGCTCTGGAGAGAAACTCGGATGTCCCCTTAGGCCTCTCCCTAGGGGAATTTTCGCGGTATTTCTTTGCCTATATGAGGAATCCCTCTAATATTTTCATATCCTGGACAAAAACACTACAGCAGTGTATAGCACTGCTCTGTCACAAAGCTGCCTTTCATTTGCTACCTCCTTTTCATCTAAAACAAAGGGACGTCACATCAGTGCGGTACTTTAAGTGTGGTCAGATCTGGACAATAAGCAATTGTTTACTAGAACTATTGGAACCATAAGCTCTTTCAATGAGTTTTATGCCTCGTTTAGCACATTTTTAGTGTCACACTTTTTTATATTTGGGTGTGTTTCAGTGGTTGCCTCTGCTATTCATAAGCAGCTGGTTGTATCCAAGCACAAAGCAGCCGCAGTGGAAAAAAGGAGAGAGGCCTGCTGTGGTTATGCAGTAATGTAAATGTTTGGAGTTTTATATGGAGTTGAGATGTTATTCTTATGATGAGGAGCTCCTCCTATGGACAGCTGGCCCCTGGAGGAGAAGATGGGTGCAGTGGAGCAGGCTGCTCTCCAGGGTTTAATCAAAGCTATCGGGCCACCACGACTGGCTTGCAACCGGGCTAGGTCTATGTGCTGGGCTGGACTCGTGCAGCTCTTAACGATTGTGTGAGCCAAGTCTCTGCCTTCTTTAAGATCGTCGTCATGTCCGTGTGCTGAGACCAGAGGAAAGCTGTGCGTTGTAATAGCTCCTAACTGGCCGAGGACGGAGAAACTCCTGACAATGAGGGGTGTGTTATTCCTTTACCGACTCCACTTGAAGAAATATACAAAGTAAATGGACTTTTAAAAGCATATTTTGATGGTGTGCAAGGTAGTAAGCTTACCAACGAATAGAAACGATCCAGTAAGAGTTTGGTTACGCCGTGATGTTTTGTCTGTCTTGGTCGGGGACTGCTGCTCCGAAGAGCCACTTTCAAAGGCGAATGTAAAATAAGGGCGCACATTTGACAGTAATAATTGTCACAAGAATTTAAAAAAGAGAGCTAGAGAAAGGTGTGGAGGGAGGAGGTTTCCGAGGCTATTTGACGATCGAACTAACCAAAGCCGGAGTTCATTGCAACTCGTATTGTATGAACTTTGACTTCCTCCGTTGAGTTATCCATCAAACCATAAATGTGCTCCACTTTGCTCATGAAGTGTATGTAAAATTCTCACCAGCAGCTATAAAATCAATAGATAAATAGATTAGGCCGGTTTGTTAGGTTAGGTTAGGTTGGCTAGAAAAGAAAAAAAAATCACACTCGCAGCCTCTGTTCTATCCGTTTCTCACATTCCCATGTGGTAGACAGCGATTGGTCAAACATCAATCACATAGTGAATAAGTTCATTCATGAAACATATTAGCCGTAGAAACGGGGTCAGCCCCGCCCCTTCCCTAAACTCAGTACTTCTCTCAGTTCCTCTGTAAAACGTTTCTCTCAGCAGCTTTGTGAAAGCGTTTTAAGAGGAGCTTTTAGACTCCTTATGGTCCGATAACATACTTACAGGTTTTCCCATGAAATGAAAATAACTGTTGAGGTGTTCCAAAGCAGCTTCAGCTCAGTATTTGCGTAGGTGTACTCTCCATGGCTGCCTCCGCTTCCGCCTCCTCCATCCAGGCCTGTTGTCGCTTAAGCCTTTAGACTCGGATATGCACCGGAGGGAGTCGTTCCTGAAACGTTCCTGAGTGGGAGGATTCCGTCTCTGCTTTTCTAATCAGACCTGAAGTTTCTATGAAGGAAACCACACAGGTTACAGCTACGTCTGTTGAAATTCACACTGTGGGAAAGTCGGGTTCAGCTGAGGAGCGTGCAGACTGGGGGATGATTCAGATGTTTGCACCTCTCTAGCATCGCTCATACTTCCTCTGGGTTGAATCAAGTGCTGCAGCTCTTTGCGTCACGGCTACAAATGTGATTTCCGTACGTCACTGTAGCCCGAAGCTGCTGCTTGACTAATTGCACATTAATCCTTTCCTCGCCAGATGACCGCCTTGCCATGAACCCTCCTTCCATGATCGCCACTGGCAGCATGGGAGCGGCGGTCTGTGGCCTGCAGCTGGACCACAGTGACCAGAGGCTGAGTCGAGACAACCTGACACACCTGCTGGCCAAGATCACCAACACAGAGGTGGTGAGTGCAACGGGGAAGGAAATGTATACCTGCCAGAAGCAAAAACATTGTTTTAGTGCTGCATAATAATCATTGCAACATCGCACGACAGCAGCATAAAAGGCCCTTTAGTAAACAGAGATGACTTTAGTAGTGGCAGATTGAAGCTATTTACTCTTCATGGAGAGAGAGAGAGAGGGAGAGCCAGAGCTCTTGGCTGCGGAGCCAGACTGCTGCTATAAAGAGCAGCGGCAGAGGGAATGTCTTCTTAAAACTCAGAGCCTGCATTCTTGTGGTAGGACACATGCAATTTCTCTGCATGCCTCCCCCTTGAGCTGTGTGCCCCTCCTGGTGGAGGAAGATGTTCGCAAGTGAAGTCGAGAGCAAAATCCGGATGAAGAAATGGAAAGTTATCCAAGTCGTCCTCACAACAACACTTTAGAACATTTTTAGATTACTTTATTTATGTAATATATTAAGTCATAAACTGTACTTGCCATCTTAATGAGCTTGTTGTACAGTTGATCAGTGTGCACTAATAAATGTAATGAAATTAGTGTGTACTGCATATACGCTGGCTGAGATTTAAACAATTTAAAGCATAATAAATATAAATCTAAGTATAAAATGATGCCCGATTTGACATATCGATCGTTTTTGCTGCCGTACAACAATCGCTCGTTCTTACACCATAATACTTATACCATATGTATCCAAGTGTGTGCTTTCATTGTCACAGTGGGTCATTGTTACAGCAGAGGACCAGTTCAGAACCATAGAAATCCAGAAGGACTACAGCCAACGGGCCTCAGGAACAACACGGTTTGCCTCTTAGCTTGTGGTTACGTTGCCTTAGCGACGCGGGCCCTGCAAAAACCCAGCCGTCACAACAGGCGCCCCGACTGCAGCCCATCGGGTTCCAATTATCCGTACATTTCAAAGGAATGTTGGCCTCTTTGCGAGCCTCGGTTCATTCTTTTAAGAGTCCTGCAGCCGGCTCAGTGAGCCAGACCTCCCACATCTTCCACACAGACCTGCAGACGGACAGACCGAGGATCCCCTTTCACTAGAGAAGTTGTCCAAAAACATCCGGTCTCACTGTCCTATATTCTGTTTTACACCAAACTCAGAGGTTCAGGGTGCAGTAGGTCAAAGCCATTTCCTCTAGACCTCCACATGGGACTGACCGTGCTGTAAACCCAAAGGGCGGGGGGGGGGTTGGAGGAAGGGAGTCCAGATCACAGAGGTCATTTAGAAACCGTGCCCCCACACATTCCCCTTGTATTCACACCTCAGACATGCACAGGTCTCATGTCCGAGAGGATTCCCGTGCCCACCGTGTAGCTCGCTGCCCTGTGTTGTTGGTATTGGAGCCTGCTGGTACCCATTGTTCTGGTCATGATGCAGACAGGACCACCAACCATAACGCACATAATTCCCTGCTGGTATGCCGTGCATGTGACCAAAGCTGTTTAACAACTTGCACATCAAACGTCATAAAATACCAGGTTTTTGCACGCTAATGTCTGTGTACAGGTGCACAGATTAAACACTCTATACAGCGAGCATGTTGCATTTTTAGTAATAAAACTTTATTTGTGAATAATGTAGAGAAAAATTGAGAAATTAAGTTGAAAGTGTTAAGTTTCTCATTTGTCTGGAGATCATAACTATTTCTTTGAGTTGGGCTAAAATTCTCTTAATTTCACATGTAAAAACGCTGGATTATAGTTTTATTTCTTATATTTTTTTGATTTATTTTTGTGTATAAATAGTAAAACTATATTTTTACAGCCTTTTCACAATTTAGTTTTTATAGGAGCCTGTTTAAGCTTCATACTTTATAAAAATGTCAGACGTAAAGCTGTGTTTAGGCTGACAAATGCATGTAGATTAAGAACAGTTAAAAAAGACAAAAATGTATACAAAATAAGCCTGAACTCTAGGATTGTTCAGTTGGTGTGCAAAAGACTACCCAGTCCGAAAAGCATTTAAACAGTAGCATAGGTGTTATGTGTGTAATGTGTGTGTGTGTGTGTGTGTAACAACGTGTGCCCCGCTTTGTTCCAGGATTGTTTGAGGGCGTGCCAGGAGCAGATAGAGCGCGTGCTGGCCACCAGCCTGCAGCAGGGCCAGCAGTACCGGCAGGAGACCGGCATCAGAGCTGGCAACAAGGCGAGGGAGCAGCAAGACCAGTCCAGCACCCCCACAGATGTACGTGACGTCAACTTATGAACTCGCGCACATCACTCACGCCTGTTTACCAATGAACTTACTGGAGCGAGGGAGGCATGAGCTGCCAGTATCTGCGCCACATCGGCGAAGGTGTGACAATCTATGAACTTTTAGAAAATAAGAAATTTCTAGTTTTTTCTCCTTTTTGCCCCATTCATACCCGGTTGGGTGTACGGTCACCTTGTGTACGGGCCACATGTAATCAAACAACTATTTAAAAAAAAAAACAACAAAAAAAACATCTTGAGAACTTGATAGTGCCTTAGGTTTCCCAGGATGTAAACCTGAATATATTTTCCGACTTGAAAAACAAAATACATACAGCATAATTCCATGAAATATACATATTTCTTTTGATAAAACATAGTATAAATAAATATGATAAATAATGTATATTTAGCTAGCATTTAGTTATGTTACTCTTTTATCATCTTTAGTGAGCAGTTATCAATTCACCTGTGCAGGAAAACTCCTATAGTAATAATGCTGATTGAGTAGATGGCATCCAAACCAAGCTGATATCCAGTCAGAGCTAGCGAGCTAGCTGCTCTCTAGCGCTATCTATCAAATTGTGCACCTGTAGCACTGCTTACTATTTATGCTGTCAAGTGCTGGCCAGGAGTGGGCTGGGCCTGCTCACAGAGGAAGGACATGAGGGGCTTTGAGTGGTTTGGAGCAGTGGCTTCTGTTAAAAGTCAACAGAGGACAAGGTCAGTTATTACGGTCTTGATTTCACTGCCAAATCCAGTACAGTATGCTAACTGAACGACATGTATATGTATTATAATTCAGCGAGGCGACATTATTATTCTGTTCTTGTTCTAGCTCCTACATGTTAGCGAGTGTTTGGGAGATGGTTTGCAGGCGATTTTATGCCTCAGCTAGGTAGATGTCATGTTACTAGAGGAAAAGGATATTTGGCAAGTTTGTGAGAGGAAATGGAAGCAGGTTGAAGGTTTTCTTGTGAGGTTTTTTTTTTTTTTTGTTGGAAAAGAAACGCAGGTGGAAAGGGTGTGGGGGGGGGGGGGGATGCTAGAAGTGTAGATTGATGAATGACAGCGAATTGGCGAGGAAGTTAACTTAAGCTATGTAATGTTTCTGCAGTTGCACGTTACTTGAGTGACACACAGGAGGAGGAGGAATCCCTGGTGATGTCCGGAGGGGATCAGATTAGTTGTGCTGCAGTTTCTCCGGTTATCAATTTCCATTTCTCCGAACAATATTGATGCACTTTTAAAAACACACTCCTTAAGAATGGTAAGGGGATGGTGGTTGAGGAGAGTTCAGTGGGTTGTTAGGACCTTTTTTTTTTTTTTTTTTTTTTTCCTGTAAGTTATTCGATTTTTAAAAAAAAAAAATTCTGGGCTGGATTCCCATGGGGTAACGCACATTGTCTTGAAAGCTACGCCCCGACAGGTGAGAAGACAGAATAATCGGTGTTATGGTATAATAGAATATAAACTAATGCTGTGTTCGCGCCAAATGCAAAAGTTTGATTGCGGGATCGCAACTGCAGCTTCATTGGCTGGTTTACTACGGCTGTAGGAACAAAAAAAACAGCAGATTGTGCCGTAATTCAATGGCAGAAAGCATGCCGAGTTAACTACGTAATAATGCCCACATACGGCTTTTTACCACCATATCCGATTCAACAAAGTCTGAACGTCGGTGACCGCAGGAGGAGAATCTCGACTCTGACAGGTTCTCGTGAATTTCTCTATTTGTGTCTTTGCATTGACTTTACACGTTTGTGGCGTGAACACAGCAAATTGAAAACCAAGTCACTTGTAGACTTCTTTTTTTTGATTCAGTGCGTTTATTTAACCTTACTTGAATTTTTGTGAATCCATAACCAAAACCTTCCAACAGTTCTTTCAAAGAGTTACACACATACGTGTCCATGTTTTTGCTCTTTTTATGTAAACTGCTCTCTGAACTGAAGTTTTAAAATGAGTTTTCTCCATTGTAGATGTGGGTAAGTAGGGGTTTACATTGTGTCAACATTTTTGACTGTATATAACCAAATTCCCTATGAGCAGAAATGCTAAAAAAAATATAGTAACTACATTTTAGAACAGAAATGTAGTTTCTAAATTGTATTCTTGCATGTTCTGTTGTGCAAAAAGCCAAATGTTTTTTTTTTTTTTTTTTTTTTAAAAAAAGTGCTTCAAACAGAAAAAATGTTTAAGCTTTTAAAGGTTTTGTGTATAATTTGAAAGAGATAATTCCAAAGTGAGACAATTTGATCATACACATCATTCTTTTGCTGCTATGAAGCTTTTGTTTTTCCAGTCTTACACAAAGATGCCTTATATTGATTCACTTGTGTGCTGCTATATTATGAAATGTTGTATATGTAACAAGTCTTCTTTGCTTTTCTGTTTTGTGTGTACTGGAGGGAACGTAACAGTTTGGTGCGGGACTGGAAGTACTTTGTTTTTGCCGATCTTTTTGATTAGCATGTTTTATTGTTTCATTTGTATCTTTTATATTCTACCATATTCTTGCTGCTTCTTTGTAATGTTTGTGTACCTCAGGTTAATTTGGATGGATAGAGCGAGAGCTCATCTCGCATTACCTCATCAAACTTCACATCACTCGCACATTGTTTTCACTCTGAATTTGTTGGACGGGTTTCACTTTTTATTTTTTTAATTTTTTTTTTTGTTTCCAGTCTGGATGAGAGGAAGAACAATGCTTCTTCTCTTTAAATCAAGAAATGTCTGCCGCCAGATTCCACTGAGCAGTTATAAGTGCCTATACATTAAAATAGGTTGTTTCATATATCTAGGTTAAAAAAAAAAACAGCCCATACTGTATGTTAGACATGCATTTGAAAGACAAAAAAAATATTTGTAATTTCATTGGCATGTTTAGATCGGTTCATTGGAATAAAGTGGAATATTGTTGATTTTTGAGGTACCCATTTAGTCAAAGTTTAAACCACGAGGATGTTTTATCATTGTTCAGTGTGTTTGGTTTTCTAAACTCCTCTCCCACTATCCCCATGTGCAACCACACAGTGTACCTCAACAATTTCTCCTCAATAAATTGGCTAAAATCATGTGACTGGTTTGTTTGTCTTCCTGTGTACAGACTGAGGTCTGCCCACCTGGATTAATGTTATTTCGGTGGATTGTGCTTTTAGGGAGATCTTACCTTTATGATGCCACTAGAGGATGACTAAACAACCATAAACATAGACTAGTGGATGAAAGAGCAAGTGGTAATGCCCTCAAAATTATATATAAATCAGTGCACAGGCCGGCATCTGAAAAACTGCCAACACAAATTTAACACACACGGTATTTGATTTTACGAATATTTCTGTTTACTAGAGTTTATCCAAGCTTTAGATACCATTGAATATGAAGGGCTGTTGACAGAGAAACACTTTAACTCTAAATAATCTAAAAGTAGCACAATTATTAACATGGGACGGACTAATTTGCACACGTGAACACAATGCCAACAAATGTTTAGGGTTGCAGACTTTCTTTTGCAAATATTAATTTTACTTGCCCAATGAATAACGAAGAATTTTGTCTTTGTAATATGTACGATTTACTAAAAAGTTAAAATGTATACCAATTTTACTACATAGCTTTGTTTGTAATGTTACGTTTGATCTTTACGCAGCTCTGCAATGCGATATGATTTGCGTCATGACGCAGGAGGTCACGTCACTTTATTGCGGCTGAACCAACCCGGAAGTACATGGCACAGGAGCAGCCGTGGACAATGTTTACATTCAGTTTAACGCTTGTCCGACAGTAAGTGATGATTTTTAAGGTGTCATTTCCCTTTTTATAATCCCAGATTACACGGACATGAATGAGCAGATAATGTGACTGTGTTCTACAGAGTAGTAGCGTTATGTCCTGACATGTTGGTATTAAAGCAATGGCGGCTGAAGTGTGCAGCTAGTTAACAGTAAAACGAGTTAAATAACTTAGCTAACGTGTGCGTTGTGTTTCAGTAGTTTAAACTAACCTCGCTTTATATTTAAACACATGATTACTGTCTTGTCACCGTTGAATTAATACTCTAATTCAATGACATTGCTATGTTTTCACACAGTGGGGAAACGCAGTACAACAGGGACAAGCTACTGCAAGGTACGTTGTCTAGGTCTGACTACACAGATCTGATCCCACGTGGGTGTTAGAGCATCAGCTGTTAGATGCATTCATACATGCAACAGAAAACTAACATGTTAATAGGCTTTATTAACACTAACTGAGGTGGTGTCTGTCTTCCAGGTCAAGGTGTGGACACACCCTTGTCAGAGACGGGTCTTGTGCAGGGTGACGCAGTAGGAAGATACCTCAGAGACATCACATTCAACAATGTGTTTGCCAGTAACCTGCAACGAGCCGTACAGGTAAGTCAGACTTCACGCACAGATTAGGTGAGAGTGAGAGACAAATCGCTGCTCCCCGCTGTCACCTGCATCGCGGCTAAATAGAGGCTATAATACACTGAGATGGGATCAGATCATTCCCACAACTATGTAGTGTTGTCGGCACGTTAAAAGGAGTGGTCTGATGATATTGTATCGTCCTGTTAAACCAGAAAAATGTCACTATTGTTTTCTCCTGATTGTGAAGGAAAAGGGAAAAACAGGATGCCTGTTAAGAACTTTGTAAAATAGTTGTGTGAATGTTCACGTCTCTGTGGTCTTTGACTCATGGATGCCGACGGTGTATTGATGAACATTTTGGTTTTTTTTGGCACTTATAAATGTGTTGAGTCAGTCATTTCCAGATTATTTTTCCCCCATCAGACAGCTGAAATAATGTTGAAGAACAACACTCACTGTTCGGGGAAGGAGATGGTTTTGGAGCCATTACTCAGAGAGAGGGTACGATCAGTTGTCTTTATACTCCGTCCAAATATTCAAGTTTTAAATGTATGACTACAGCAGTTTCTTTACGGAGCTCTAAGTTGTGGTTTTGTTTTTAATGCAGGGTTTTGGCGTTGCCGAGGGACGTCACAAAGATGATCTGAAGAACATGGCCAACGCTGCTGGCCAGTCATGCCGTGACTACACCCCTCCAGGAGGAGAGACTTTAGACCAGGTGAGTCAGACACAGTCAGGAGTTACCATTTGGAAACTGATTGTTCAGAAGTTGAAAACAGCCACAGTTGAAACTCAAAGTCAAGAGAGTATTACTTGTGCAACAGTGCCATGTAGTGCCCATTTTGAATATTGCATTTAAAACTCAGTCTGTGGACAGATAAGTGTTGCAAAAGTGTGTTTAATATGTGTAAAAAAGGCTAATTGATGCGAATGAGATGATCTGGGTAGCGTTGTGTGAGTAATGATATTTAGCTCTTCTTAAATACATGGACATTTTAAAAATATCTTGTTTTTCCAGCCAAACCCAAAAGATATTTAATTTTTGATGATAGAAAACATAAAAAAGGTAAATCCTCACACCGAGGAGCTGCAACCAGAAGATTTTGAGCACTTGTGCTCGAAAAACTTTCTTAAAGCAATTATCAAAATAGGTTGCAGATTTTTCTTTTGTCGATGAAGTGACTGACTTCAGCTCTATTTATTTACAGTATATGCTGTATGTACAAGGACAAAATGATTTAAAGAAAACTGTAGCTGGCAAAAAGAGACTCTGGCTGACATGCTCTCAAACCTGCTCTGGTTCACTGTCACCTTGCTTGTAGGTGAAGCTGCGATTCAAAAAATTCCTCAAAGTCCTTTTCAAGCAAATGTTGGACGAACACTGCTCGTCAGGACCGGATGCCTCTGCGGGAGCATCAGATGCCGGAGACGCGGCAAACGGGACTGAAGCTGCTGCCTCGGGCGTCGCCCCCGTTGGCTCGGCTGACGATGGTCTCCGGGAAGTGCCGGTCCACGCTCTGGTCGTGACCCACGGCGCTTACATCCGTGTAGCCGTCAAGCACCTTGTAGAGGACTTGAAGAGCTCCCTGCCTGCGGGGGTGAAGATGTGCCAGTTGTTTTCACCCTCTCCGAACACGGGCATCAGTCGCTTCATTTTCACCCTGAGCCAGTCCGAGTGCGGCCCGGTCCTCTCTGCTTGTCGCTGCGTCTTTACCAACAGGAAGGACCACCTGGCAAACCTCTCAGTGGCCGTATAGTGTGAAGGGAAGGAAAAAGGTTTTATGTACTGTTTGTGTGCACATGTACACAGTCTCTAATGGATATAATCATAAGGACTAAAGGGGAAATAAGAGGCAAAGACCTCAAAGTTATCACAGGTAACTGAACAACCTGGTAAATTATGTTTGCTCAATAATCAATAGTGTTTTACTGTGGACTAAGTCTAAATAAGTGCAGTACTGTATATTCAAACTGTTTCATCATCCTCCCAACTGTAGGCCAGTGAGGACTTGTGTTATTACCTCTTCTATCATGTCATACCAAAGTCCGAACTATTTAATGTGTTGTTGAATGCGTCAATATGTCCGTGCGTGTGGCATTTCCTAGTTGATGCGTCTCCTGAGATGCTGCTCATTTTACTTGTGCAATACAACGTGTTTACACTGAATCTTTGAGTTTTATACACGGATATATATAATGGAAGATACTACAGGATGCTATTTACACAAGTGCTGTAAAACCGTCCCAACTCCTTGTTGTTCAATGTGTTTTTCTTCTTCCTATTTTTAGAGTCACTTTTTAATCTCCACTGAATGCCTGAGCTGCTCAGCCCGTCATGGCCTCAATATCTCAAGCACCATGTGATCTACTCAGTGGTGGAAATTAACCAAGTCAATTTACTCAATTCGTGTACTCTAGTAAAAAATGTAAGGTACTTGAGTATCTCAATTATTGTCTGCTACTCTACTGCAATTCAGAAACCATGTTGTACTCTACGACATTGGACAGCTTTAGTTACTTGTTACTTTATGGATTCTGAGTAATAATACATAATAAATTATAACAAATGTGTTCAGATAAAGATAAGACTTTACAGTATTGCTACTTTTACTTAAGTCAAAAATGTGAGTACTTTTTCCACCACTAGGGAGACAAAAAGAGGCTTAGTTTCTCCCATCACATGTCTTCAACAACTGATAGAGATCAGTTTTCTCTCATCATGAATGAATGGAAAAAAAGGTTTGAGCACACTAGGGCTCTATAATGCAGTCACTACTGAACTGTGAAGGGAATTAACAGCTATTCTAGATGTGTAATCACTCTCAAAGAGCTTCAATATCCTGCAGCTATAGCTAGTACAGCATCTCAAAACCTTCATAGCGTTGAACAGCTGACCGTGAAGGAAAAGGTCAACATTTTGGGATGTGTTAGCGTAGCACAAAGACTTTAAACAAGGCTCTGCCTGAGGGCAACTAAATCCGGTTACCAGCTCTTCTAAAGCAAACTGGTGAACACGTTGTATATTGTTGGTTTAATATGTAACAAAACCAAGTGTAAAAACGTCAATTTTACATTTTTACGGTGGGACTATTTCTTGGCTGGCAGCAGTAACTTCCTGGAGTTTCCTATGCCACAAAACGTCGAACACTTCCGTTAGCGGGTCAAAGGTTAATGGGTGACAAATTTAACAGTTTGTTTGGGTAAAAATGTCACCAAGTGTATTTTTAGAGTGAAGTGACTCATGTACCTGTTTCCTAATTAAGAGGTGTGAAAGTGCAGGATATTCAGCTAATGACTGGAACTGCTGAGTAACTGTGTCAAAGTTAAACCTGCTTACTCATTCATGACTTCCTTTCAGACGGCTTGTCTTTACCAAATTAGAACACCAAAGCTAAAAAAATAAAAGAAATCACAGCTGTATGAATTTGCATAAATAACATACACCACTACACAGGTTTCCTTTATAGTTTATTTGGTCCCAAACACTCCACAACTCCAACTCATACATTCAAAGACAAACCATGTTTTTTTTTAATATATACATTTTAGCTGTAAAGCGTCCTTATAAATACCATAAATAACAATAAAGGAATGGAATTAAATAAATAAATACTCTTTGGGACTGGTTTTAGTGTTTGCTGGTGGTGCCCAGCACCTGTAAATATCACATAGCGAGAGTTCCGATTTGATATCAAGATTGCTGTAAAGGGTTTGTTTACCCTGTAGTTATATTCATTCAAGTCATGAATTAAGCTAGATTGTACAAATACAGATGCATTACCACAGACAATGCTGTGCTTTTAGTGATCTGTAGTTTTGGAAGGTTTTTGGAATTGCTGTTATAGGTTCAGAACAATTAAACAAATGTAAAATCTTCTATATCCAACTCTGAAAACTTAGGGCTTTAAAATATAGACTAACCTTAACTCTACTAAATGCAACTCTTAAGTATATTCATGTATATATTTGTGTGTAAAGTCATGCCTGCCTAGTTTCACATCAGTAGACAGGGCCTTCAGCCCTCCAAAGGTAGGCTTCTGTCTTGAGATAACATCAATGTCACTTTGAAATGTGGGTTTCTCAGACCAGCTGTCAAAACCTCAATGAGATGAGAAAAAAACAAAATGGAAACGTGCTGACTTCTCCCGAGTGTTGGGATTATTACTTTCTAAAGCTTTGTTTGCATTTGCTAAGCGATTGAATCCTCACTGACATGAATCACGTAGTTCTTCGGGGAAACTAAAGCGTGTTTATGAATAATTCAATAATCTTTCACTGCCATTTCTCATCTAAGCAATAGCTCAGTGTGAGCATGTGCCAACTAACTGTAATGGATAGGGATGGGAAATGGATTTGGATCACTCCGCTTGGCACAAAACCAAGATTTTCTTTTTCTGTTATCTGTTTCTGCGGAGAAAATAGTCAGGTGGGACATGAAACTACATTTTTAAATTCCTATACGCTCTATTTGTCACCAAACCTGCTTAGGAACGTTCCAAATAGTCGTTATTGATGAGATGAATTCAGGTAAAACTCGCATCCCTTGTTGATTTATCTTATATCTGCAGTGATCTAAAAGAATTGCGTTTTAACACTAATTGTGCAAAAAGGGGCTGCAGGTCAAGTCTCATTTTTTTGTGAATGAGTGATGACTAAAAATACATTTAACTCAGCCACTTGAAAATTCTCATATCAGTTTTTTTTTCTGATATCATGACAAACTACAATGCTAAACTCACTTTAAGAAAAGTAAATATATCCTAACAAGTGAAAATCAGCCCATGGTTCCGGTGCTCCGGGGGCTGGCCGGGTTGGACGAGTGCACGTTCCACGGGTCGTGGGTGGACGGAGCCAGCGGCGTCTCCCGGGACACGTTGCGCACGTCATCCCCGGTCTCTACCTCCACCTCCACCTCTACCTCCACCTCTAGATCAGCGTCGTCCTCTGGAACGGCCTGAGAGTCCGAGCCCTCCTCGGTCTGACCAAAGTAGACGTTGTGCGGGTCGGAGGGATCCACCACCTGGTTCCTCTTCTCCCTGTGCAGCAGGAGGCGCTCCAGCGGCACCGTGTTCTTCTTGGGCAGGAAGAGGGAGGTCTGCGGGAGGTTCTGGCCCGCTGAGAACACCTGCCGGGAGCCCTCCAGGTTGAACAGGATGCCGTTCCGGCTGGAGAAGTACACGTCCCGGTTGTTCTCCAGAAGTCTGTGGTTGAACAGACAGTCGTCTCTGAGGCAGATGGGCTGAAAGACAAGGAGAGAGGGAGGCAATTAAACTACAGTGAAGGAATATCCTATTTTCTTTACAGGAGGCAAGATAATACGTTGTCATTTCCTCAGCTTTTATTTGAAATAATCTCCAAATAGGCTAATGCACTTAATGCTCGAAGTAACTAGATAATACAGCCATCTGATTCAATGCTATTATTTAGCAAAAACACAAGAATGTTCGAAAAAATCACGAGGATTGAGATAATGTCCTTTTAGTTCTAGTTCAGTTGTAATTCCCAACATATCAGTGTGTAGCCTTATTCTATCTTTTTTTCGGTATTAACTTTAAATATAACTTCGCCACCATTTGCAGTTTGTTCCCTTAATATCAGTGCATGCATTAAACCAAATCCAATGAATGGACATGGTCACGTGTAGACAACAGTCAACTTTGTGCGTAAAATGATAGAAAGCGGTGTTAAAAACTATGAGTAAAACCCCACAGTGGTTCCGAATATGAAACGTGTATTGGATCTATTTAGTTCAAAGTAGAAATTAGTCAAACGTGTTTTAAAATAATACAATTAATTGACGTTAAGACATTCCATATTTGCGGTACGTTTGTGCGTAAAAGGATGGCTCTTTAAATGTTATAACCGATGCGTAAAACCTCACAAGGGGTTCCAAGATAGATAAACTCAAAAGTAAAAGTTCAGTATGATGGATCTATTGAATTAATAGTAACAAACATTAAAACTGAAAGCAAGTATTGGCTTACCGAGCTGAATGGGTTGCCCTCCAAATCCATACACAAGTAACGGCTACTTTTGACGCCGAGGATGGCGATGCGCTCCCTTGTTTCAGCTTTCAGTAAAATCACACCTGTCAGGAAGAAAAGGCAATGAGCATTGGAGTGTTAAAGACACCACTTCATATTGCAACAAATAAATGTAACGACTAAAAGACGTCTTACTATATGAACTCCTGACTGTCGTTCTGCGCACAGTGCCATCTAATCTGATCTCCAAGTAGAAGTTGTTGAGCTCTGTGGATGTCTGCAGGTGGACATATCTCCTCGGGTTCCCCCAGTTGGATCCAACCAGCGGCGACGGGTTCGGGGCCGTTTCCCCGAGAGGAAATCCCTGGAGGACGGCGAGTAAGAGCGCCAGCACAGTATCCCTCATTCTCAGTCTCCTGTTGACGTCCATCCTGGAGTAAACCGGTGCTTTCCACTGAGAGAGCTGCTGTGAGTTTTCAGATGCTCTGTTGTCCCAAAGTTTGGAGACAGTTCCTATTTAAAGCCCCCTGAATGCCACTCCTGCTCACATCCTTTGCGTTAAAAAAAATAGAAACTCGCCCCCAAAGCAGATGTGCGGGTTTGCTGCAGCGGAAGGGCCACTTCCACCTCTGTCTGTTTATCCCGATGCTCTTGGTCAGACTGGACTCTTATTTTTGGTGACACGTCTTGAGTCATCCACCTTGGACATTATTCTAAGACTATTTCCCGATGGTCCAAAGTTTTTGTTCGGACTGGAAACATGGTGCAATGGGCAATGTGAAAAAAATAAAAGAATAAAGACAACAAAAAGAAAGGACATAATGCAGAATCGTTAAAATTTATGTAATTTAAATCAGGAATAAAATATACTGTTAGTTAGTTGTGTAATAGTTAAATCCGTCCTAACTCCAGAATTAATGATGAAGGAATTAATCAGTGATTAATTGAGCGTCATGTAAAATGTTTAACAGTTTTAGTTCAATGGACTGGACGTTAAGTCATGGTTTGAAGTTACTTAGGTTTGCTGTTTTTACGCACCTGCCCAATTTAACATTTTCACCATTTCACCAGCAGAGGGAGCCACTGCCTTATTTAATATAGTTTTTAACTGGGAAGTCGCATTTAACTGGCTAAACTATTTTTGGATGGCTGGAGTTTCAGCATGAAACACTTTAAACTATGTTTCGGTAAAGAACTATCCTCCTTGCTGTACACAACAACTTTTAAACAGCTTCTCTTAAAAAGAAAACGATTTTTGTAATCCAGGAAATTAAACCCACTTCCAAATGTCGACAATTATGATAATCTTCAAGTTTAATTTGCACACAAACAAACATAATCCAAAGTGATTTTACATGATTTCAAGTACTACACGTAAGTACAATTATTTTTCATTTTACGCTACTTTATACTTCTATTCTACGACAATTCAGAGACAAATATTGCATGTTTAACTCCATTACATTTATTTGATAACCGGTTACTTATCAGATTAATAATACAAAATATAATCGATAAATGAAATATGATGTGTTAGTATGGATACAAATAAGAATTTTTCGATCCCTTGAAATTCACACGATACCTTGCAGTATATGTAGTAAAAAATATGCCTTAAGCATTAAAGTAATTTACACATTAATGCATCAATAATTATAATTCAATGATATAATACATTATTCTGAAATGGGCCATTCTGGATTATGAGTACTGTTTGTATATTTTGATGCTAATACTTTTTGAATGCAGGACTTTTACTTGTATTTCTACACTGTGGTATTGCTACTTTTACCGATAAAACACACATTCACGTCAGAGATCAGCTGATCCGACAGAGAGAACAACAACACTTTACCAGCAACCAGTTAAAAAAAAACTTTTATTGTTATCTCAGGAATACAGTGGACTGCTGTGCACAGCACATACGTACAAAAATAAAAGAAAAAACTTTAATATCCTTACTTAGCATTGTCTGTTTTCAGAAACAAATGACTGAAATTTGTTTCGTCGTAATTTACAGTCATCAGCAAACCAAAACTAAGGCAGAGGGTGAGGTATATGAGAACAGAGATGAGAGGAGTAAAGCAAAAAAACAAACACGTGAAGCACACACCCCTAATTAAGCTTCGGGGCTCAGGCATGCTAGTACATTAAACAAGATTTAAAAAAAGATATTCCTCCCCTTGAATTAATTCAAATTTGATCTATGATAAGCTGTGGACAGAAAAAAAAAAAAAAAAAGACGACGAGAAATCTGGATAACATTTTTTGGTCAAAGCTGAAGGGTGAGCTTTTTGTTTCAGACACAGACCTTCACTCTTTTAGGGATCCAGCTCTATTTCTTGACAGACAAATGTGTGAGAACTTTTTTATGCTAGTTTATGATCAAGTAAGGTGCCGCCTGCTACAGATGTCAGACATCTTTTGATTGTGAGGTTGGCAAGAGAAGTGCTCATTGCTGTGCATGCACAAAGTTCACTTCCACAGCTTCCTCAGCTGAAAATGCTGAAACAAGTACTGTTTTTTTTTTGTTTTTTTTTTTGTCGACTACTTCAGCCAAAAAACAAAAGATGAATATTTACTCCTGACAATAAATGTACATCAGTGTGTTTCATGCAGTCTCATCTACAGCAGCAACAAGTTTTTTTTGAAGCTCCCGATAAAATTTGAATCAAAACAAAAAAGAGAGCAAGAGATTTATCTGTTAGAAAAATACTGTTATGAATCGATCTGTGCTTCATAGACAGTTGAGCAGCAGGTGATACTGGTGATGAGAGGTGTTTGGGGTCGGGCAGCGTCCAGCAGCAGCAGCAGCAGCAGAGGGCAGGTCCTGCAGCAGGAGAGGTGAGGCCCTGCGTGACTGTGCTTTCTGCCAGCTCCTCACACACTGCATTAACTCTGCAGATGTCCCCTCCCCAGAAATTTACCAACACAAGTACTTGGAAAGGAGAGGGGACAGCATGTTGTGGAGCTGCATTTTAAAAGAGGCGGGGCTCTATACATTCAGAAGATTGTGACGCAGAGAACTATAAGAGCTATCTATGGTTTTAAGGTGGAGAGCTACTCTCGAGCCATCCGTTCACCAAATTATATTCCGTTTAAGCATAAAATAAAGTGTTTCCTGCGGGGGAAAAGCTATTTCAAATTCCTATTTCATGGCAACAGTATGACCCATATAGCCGACCACCCTGGCCACTGGGGTTGGGGCCAAGGCTGGTCCGTGACTCTGACCTTGAACTAAAAAAGGCTGAAAGGAGAGGAGGAAGCTCCTGGGTTACAGCTGGAATCCCAAGGTCCCTGCCTGCAGCGGGTGAGGGGGGTAAGGGACGAGCAGAGGTGGGTGGTGATGGGGTGACAGAGCTCAATGGGGGGTGGGGGTGGGGGGGGGGGGCGCTCAGGTATGTGGAAGGCTGCCTGTCATCCTGGCAGATCCACATTCCTGCAGGGGGTCTGACGAACAACAAAGACAGCAGGGCGGCTTCCTCGCATTCGTCTTTCCTGGATTTAAATAGTCCGGTTACCTCTCCAAACACAAGACCGGATGGAGGCAGCGAGATTCAGGTTCTTCTAGTTAACAGCTGCAGAAACGAGGCGGGTAGATGCACGCTATCAGACTCTCCAACTGAGTGAAGCAAGAAAAACATACTTTGAATATGTAACAAGATATTAACTATATACTGATGCACGTGATAGCATTTAGGGTATGAAGCATGGTACATCTTCAGCTTTGTAAACAATCTGCCACTATGCATACCAATTCTTAAATGAATACGGCCTTCTATGCCAACGTTTTACCCCTTGAATTGATGAAATCATCCTAAAAATCAACAGAAATTACAACATTTTCTATAGCGTGCATCCAGTCCATCAACTGTCTTTTAGTCCTTCGGGGTGGAACACGATTGGCTCATCCATAATTGCATTTAAAACTCTCTGCCTCCAGCTGCCACTGCAGTGCTGCTGCAGAGCACACAGACAAGGGGGGGGGGGGCCCAGGGCACGCACCTACTCCACCAAACACACAAAGATCAATTAAAAGGAACAAACGGGGGAACGATTCTTACCAAAACATTCAGGCACCATCATCGATGGCTAACTGTGCAACCTGAAGTCTTTTTGCCTCGTTCAGGCAACTGCGACAAAAGCAGCGTAAAAAGCTCCTGAATTCTTCTTTTACATTTGCAACTATTTACATTGTTTTTCATTGGTTTCATGGACACCAGACATCATTTTCAGCAGCAGCTAAAGCTTTGCGATTCAAAAACAGCAACCTGCTTCGCTGTAGGAGCTCTGTCCAAGACGACGTGTATATTTCTACTGTGCGCTCAGTCGTTCCTTTTGCAAACCGGGTCCAAAAAGAAAAAGTCCTCCATGCTCAGATAGATCAGTATTCCACCCTGTTTATTAGCTGGCAATGCCACACAGTCAAACTTATGGCCTTGTTCCACCGTCTATGGCTGACCGCGCTCTGGTCTCAACCACAGATTGTACATTACTTAATCGATCTAATTATGGAAAAGAAAATAAACCAGAGATAGTCAACCCCCCCCCCCCCACCCCTCTGAGGCCCTCTCCGGAGTGTCAGCCCTATTTCTGACTCCAGCAGGTGTCTCTTACATGCAAGTTTAAGGGGGCCACAAGTGGGAACACCAAGGCACCTTTCATTTCGTGCAGCAAAGGTAGTGCATTTAAGTTTCCCCCACTGCAGGACATTGATAATCGAGCAGGGAGCCATCAAGTGCTCAAACGGTTTGAAATAAATCATAAACTTAGCAGATATTTGAGCAGAAGTCCATGCATCCCTTAATCTAGTAGAGTGGTTATTTGAGGTAATAAAAAGTATTCATTTCACTCTTTAAAAGCACAGGATATAGCTCATCCTCCATCTCAAAAAAGGAAGTGACACGTAGTTCAGTTACAGCAAGCACCAAGGTAAAGTGAGACAGGCAAAGGCTTCAACTCTCCCCATCCATAAAAACAACAAGCAGCACAGTACATATACAAAGATAGCTATCCAAATATACATATGTATATATATATATATATATATAAACAGAATAAATATTTGTGTTTTCTTTCGCAGTCCATCGGTGTGTTTATCATGACGATGCATTTCTATATTACCTGGAAGAACATCCACATGTGCAAATTACTGAGTTATTGCCAGTTTCTCTCATAGTCGCGGGAGGAAATGTGTGACGGTCATGGCGGTGGTGGCCCTGTTGCCTCTCTTTGCGCGGCCATGCTTGCTGAGGGCGATGTAGAAGCCCTTGTAAACAAAAGACTCATAGGCGTTGTAGTTGTTGGGCAGCATAGTCTCCTTGAACTTGCACTCATCCACGAAGACTCTCTAAAAATGCCAAAGAGAGAGAGAGGGAGAGGGTCAAAACGTCTCACGGCAGACACAGGAGGAACATCACAACGTATGCACGGGTTCAACGTGACCTTTTGTTTGGAAAACATTCTGCCTAGAACGCAGGAAACCGGAGTAGGTGGCATGTTGTCGCAAAAGATCCCAAGCCTCCTGCTTTTACTCTCACATCTCAGTAAATAATCCCAAGTGGGCTCACTAGAGAACTATCTGAAAAATTCTAATTCAAAGGACAAATGCAACTAAATAAGCGACGATCAAATGCTAAACAATGTACAGCATTACAAAACAGGGACACATTATAGAATAGAAGTTAACACGTAGTCCATAAAATGCATATTTCTAACCACATTTGGACCAAATAAATATAGTTTTATATCATTTATTACAATCATAAGGCTAGGAGAGGCTATAGTTTGATTGAAGTTTCAATACCAACTTCAAAACAATAATGTATATACCTCAAAGTAAGACATTGAGTTTCTACAAAATCCCTTTTTCAAATTTAACGAAAGAAGCTCAACTTATCAAATGTTAAATATTGATTAAACACAAGCAAGCACAACAACTTAAACACACACAAACAACCGAAATAAAAAGCCTAAAACTGGCAAAAATCGTATTTAAATCAGACGCTGTCTTATCAAAGAGTAAGAAGAAATGGCGAGATTTCAATACTCAACGGCAAACAGGTATTGAGGTTTGATGACCAGACCTACATAACGTTCTTGTATCGTTCATTGTGAAATTAAAATCCAATATTTACAAGAATATCATGATTTATTTTACTTGCCACTCGAAGAGCAACACATTGTTCTCCTTCAATAAAAGATTAATAAAAACCGGCTCATTACAAATCACTAAATACGATATCAAGTACCGTACACTGTGTTTCCTAAAACTAGAAGACTCTAATTCGATGATCTGTTTGACTGATTAAGTTTAAGGTGTTTCACGTGTGTTTGAAAAGACCCACTGCATGATTTGATGTTGATTGCTCCTAAATACACAAGTACTGTGTATTTGTGTATATCATATACAAACCGTTGCCCTCTTTTGTAATCAAAGACATTAACTGGCCTACTTTTAAAGACAGGCCATCGCTAAGTTAATCGTTTTTCCTGCTATTGGTTTAAATCATGAAATGTTGACTTATTGTTTGACTATTGTCAGATTAATGTTCACTGGAAGGTTACGTTTATTATCTGCTTTGATGAACTCGGTGAGGAATAAACTAAATATATATATATTTTAAAAAGTACAGATTCCAGTACTCAAGTAAAGTACTTTACTTGATTATCTCCAGTTTGTGATACTTTATACTTCAGTTCCACTACGTCCCAAGAGGGAAATTTGTAACCTTTTACTCCATTACATTTATCTGTTATTTTACATGAAAACATATTAAAATATGATGCATTAAAAATCAAACTACACATATGTGTGTCAATTAATTACATTTTGCATAAACATTCAAATAATATCTAATACTATACACTGGGGTCACTCCACTGCAGTACTTTTGATATTTAAATCACAATTTGTTGATAATACTTCTGTACTTTTACGGAAGTATTGAGTGCTGGACCTTAACTTGTAATTGAGTACTTTTATATTGTGGTATTGTTACTTTTACTCAATGATGGAAAGTTACTAAGTACATGTACTCAAGTACTGTACTTAGGTAGGTCGTTATTTATTTGTGCTGTATACATCTACTACACTAGAAGTCAGAGGCAACTATTGTCATGTCTTACTCCTTTACATTCATTTTACAATTTCAGTTATGTTGCATATTGAGATTAATAATTAAAAAAGTAATCAACAAATGCATTATGATGTATTATTGTAGGTAAATATAAGACTCAATTGTTCCTCCTTTTATGCTAATACGTTTGTACTTCGACTAAAGTAAAAATGCAGGACCTTTACTTGTAACAGAATATTTTCACACTGTAGTATTATTAAATAAAATATCTGAGTTCCTCTTCCCCCACTCACAGATTCCGACACAGAAACCCTCCTATCATCAGAGCATATTAATAACACAACAGTGCCCATAAACCCACGGCTGCAGCAGCTACATGAACTCATCTTACACTGAGCAGGATGTGTGTATGTGGAGTGAGTTGCGCACAAACGTACCGTTCCGTATAACCTTCCCCTGCTGTTCATTGCGACAAACAGCTCACTGCTCACCCCGAACATGCTGATCACTCCTCGGTCCACGGTGGAGATCTCTATTAGACCTAAAGGAAACACAACGTTAGGGGAAAGCAAAGACAGTGTCACACTGCGACTGGGGGACAAACTCGAGTAAACTGGCCTATGCAGCAGCGATGGGTGTAACCCTGCAGGTGCATTGCGACTGGATGATGCTCTCTCTGCTCAATTAGCCCTTTGGAGCAGTTACCCACTTGCAGTTTAAACATTATGAAGAGTGTGTAGTTTTCAGTGTGCTGAGTGGGCTCCGTGTGCGTGTCCTGCTGCAGCGGGACGCGGGGTAAAAATAAGTTGGCGTCTAAACTGGGTCCAAGCATTCATGTCATGTTTTTGGCTTGGGAGGATATTTCGCACTGCACGGATGTAGGGCTCGGCGCACTGTTTTTGCCTTCGGAAACTTTCAACCATGCCGACACCTCTTATTAAATATCATGCAATCAAGACAAGTGACCCGCTTTAACTTTTTTTTTTTTTTTTTTTTTTTTTTTTTTTTTTTGCGCATAGGGTTACGCTCCAGTGCTTTGCCGGATGCAACTCACTGTATTGGTTCTCATTGTGTGCACCGCTTATCCTGCCATCCGGGAGCACCTGCAGGTGAAACCCAATGCCCACGTTGCAGTACAGTCGCCGCACTCTTTTGATGCCCTGCAAATAGTCACTCTCCCAGTTCAGCTCCGATTTCCCCCCAGTTATACCCAGATAGGAGCGGGAGAAGAGTGTCTCCCACTTCTTTTCCAATGAAGTCGCATTAGTCCTGCTCGGAATCGGATAAGATGAAACGATCCCCCAGATAGAAGTCCACAGTACAAGAACTGCTGGCAGCGTCCAGTGCGTCCTGGCCCCGCTGGACATGCTGTAGAGGCACCTTTGCGCAATGGCCATCCAGTTTACCTTTGGGGCACGTGGTCAAAGTTACCTGCCCTATAAATGCAACTCTTCTTATGTTTTGTCCTTTGGCATGGTGGTGGTAAAGGCTTGTTTTGGGATCAAGGCAGATCAGGGCCCCATAGCCCGAGATCTGAGCAGGAGGAGAGGGACGGAGTTCGTCGGAGCTTGAATTGGTGCCGTTGACGATGATCATCTTTCGCCGCTCCGCGCCTCTGTACAGGCAACGCGCTGGTCGTGGAGGGGACACCACTCACCGCAAAACCAGCTCACCTATAGCCAACGACTCTAACATCCTAGAATGACATCACTGTGACTTCATGGCTGCACCCCCCCATCAAAAGTAGGAGATGGGAGGAGGAGGAGGAGAGAGAGTTACAGGACCCCAGCAGCAGCAGCACTTCTGATAGCAATGATGGGGGGTGCTGCACCTTCACACCAGCGTCGAACAAGCCAGAGAGAATCAGAAGAAGCGTTTCCTGTGGTGATTTTCAAAATAAAACCCGTATCTTGCACAAGACTCTTGCACAAGTGCTCCAAAGAGTCCCTGCATCACCTCGTCTCCCAAAACTATCAACCCTAAATAAATAAACTACACATTTAAGGAGAAACCTAAATAAATGCTTACATACATAGCAGGATCAGTCATCAAATGGTTTAATGAGTATGACAATTATGTGAATTATAAGCTAAACAATTCAAAGTTTAAGTTACATCTTATTAAATCATGTTTAATTTGTCATCGAACAGGACATTTAAAAGAAAAATGGAGTAATACAAATACAATAAGCTAAAAACAATAGTCATAAATAAATTACCTTAAATAGCATTTAAGCAAAGTTCAAGCTAAATACTAAATACTCGGGGGTAGAACAAAATTGTATCAAATGAGCTGAAAAAAAGCAAATGAAAACGCAATGGCTGTGACTAATTTAGGTTTATCTATTGATTCTTAGTCCGTTAAATGAGTAATTGTTTATTTTTTATAATGTCATAAAATAGTAAAAAAAGAACAGAGGCCGATGTGGCGTCTTAAGCTTGTTTTGTAGCCTACAACGAGCGATCCAAAGTAAAGCTGAAAAGTCAATTGAAAGAAAAAGCAAAAATGACAAACCGTTACAGGTTTTAGCTTCTCACATGTGAGGATTTGCTGCTTTTTCGCTGTTTTATAAAATTGGAAAATGAATCTCTTCGAGGATTGGACTTTTGGGAGCAAAAAACAAGACATTTGAAGACTTAAGGAATGTGGACATTTTATTTAATTTTTTTGACTCTTTGTGGACAATTATTCAAAAAATTACAGATTGTTAATGAAAAATAATTGCTAGTTAGTAGAATTAGCATCAAATCTCATCTCAATGGAATTCATGGTCTCTAATATTTTCCCAGAGGGCTTTTATTTTGGAGGTAATTTAACCTACTCTCAGTTTTCCTGTGGCTAATTGTGACTGACCTGACGCTGCTCTTCCTCACATGGGAGACCTGCAGGAGGGGAGGGTGTGTGTGTGTGTGTGTGACGTTCATTGGTTGAGCAATCATGGGATGGATGGATGGATACTGTGTCCAGAGACCAAATCGGGACGGCGGTCATATGTCCTGGCAGCCTGCTGCCTTATTTAGAAGGAAGGTGTAAAAACAGTTACAGCCAGTCACAGGAGAGCAAGCAAATGTCAATCCTGTCTGACACTTCCTTAGCTGTTTGTTCAGGAAGTTTACACTACCAGATATTTTTGCCTGGTCAGATTGTGCGTTAATATTGTAAGTAACACACCGTAACAAACAAAATAATATAACCTGCGTAAATCAAATGCATGGCGTTGTTTTGAGTTCAGTGGTCATAAAGTGGTCAAGAAAATGTGTAAAAGACCTGAAGTCCATGATAAAAAAAAAAAAGGCAAAAATCACCATTTTACATAAGAAAATTTTTTGTCAGTCTAAAATGTGGATAAATAAAAAATAAGTCGAAGCTGAGTGCACTGGGTTCACCCTCCTTTACATTTCCGCTTACATCCCGTCCTGCAGGGTGCTGGTAGCAGATGAAGTCTCAGGGGAATTCCCACCGCGTCACAGAGCACCAGGCTCTGGGGCCCCACGGTGCTCTCGGCTGCCAGGGAGCCTAAAGCCCACCGTAGCAACCAGAGAGCCCATGTTGCTGATAAACAGCAGGGGCAAGACAACCGATAATGGAAAAACAACAAACAAACAAAGCATTAATATGTCCTACAATGTGGAGATACGTGAATGGAAAAATGCTAAATTTATACATGCATGTTGACGGTCATTAAACTACATTTGAAGCCGCGGGTACATGTTTTGATGTACTTTAAGATTCGCTGTATGTTGTCAACATTACTGCGTGTGAAAGTAGTTAATATATAAAGAATGTATGTGTGAAGTTAAAGAGACTAACAGGACTTCTTACTCCCACTGGAGCGGACGGACTGCACCAGCAAATTAATGATTTGCTGTGTCAGTACATGACTTTGCAGTCCAAGGCAACCTGAATAGACAAAACTACCGGGTTATTGACAAGAGTGTAACTTCAATCAATGGAGAGTGGGCACCGCTAATGAGACGGTGCTGAGCTCTTGAGATTAATTCAGCTAATACTGTTATACTGGCTGAGGCTGCTTTTTCTTTTGTAAAACCTGAAGCAGAATGCACAACAATATATCGCTTATCCATAAATATTAGTAAACATATTAAATCAATAAATGCTAATGTGATATGGTGACATAAGACGTAATCAACCACTGTCCACCTGAAACTCAATAAAGCTCTTGCTTTTCCACAAAGACTAGCGTACGGCTGCAACCAACTATTATTTTAATTAGTGATTTATTTTTATTATTATTATTTTCTTGATTGATTGTTTGGTCTATAAAATGTCAGAAAGTCATGAAAAAAAGTTTGACCAGCAGTTCAAACCCCAAATATATTCAATTTTCTATATTTGAAGATAAAAGAAAGCAACACGTTTTCACATTTTAGAAGCTGAAACCATCACATGCATGACATAAATAACTTTAAGGGGGAAGAAAGCAATTTAGTCTCCCAAGAGACGGAACAAAACAATGCTAAAATTTAAGCAGTAGAGGTCAAAAACACTGGATCTTACATTCCCCATAATGCAATAGTGTCTTCTTCACGCCCCCCTGCCTCCTAAATGCTCGCTCCTTTTAAACTCCACACCTGCAGTTTGTATACCACAGTTATTATACAACAATACAAGTTTCTATTTAACCGACAATCCAAATAGTTGCAGATTTGTGTTTTTTCTTCTGTTGATCATATTATCGATTAATCAACTAATGGTTTCAGCTTTAGACCGGAGCCAAAGAGAGTCAAGCTATGAAGACTGTACAACCCCAACAACTGAGTCACAGTGGGGAAGCAAGAGGACAGAGGGAGTCAGATGGAAACTTGCCCGCATAACACAGCAAATTGATTTTGCCTATAGACTCGCCTCGACTGAATATATTAGAGCTAACGTAGAAGACCAGAAACTAGAGCCTAAAGCCAGAGAAAAGTCTCTGCAGTTAACTATCGTCAGGTCAGCTGTCTTTGTTGCAATTATAGGATCTATTTAGTGCACACACACATCAATCTGAACGTGGACCAGAGGGAATAGCCATACAAACAGCTTTTGTGCATATTACTGAAGTGTAAGTAACTGGATACAGGAGGATGCAAAGCTCGTCCAATTACTGTTTTATTAACGTGGGGTTTAAAAGACGAGATTGAAACAACAGCTGGGGAGACCCGAAGATGGAGGGTGGGGGGTGGTGGGGGGATTTCCCTGGAATGGCATAGACGGCATAGACGGCATAGACGGGCAATAATACTCAGTCTACTGTGTGTGTATGTATGTACGACATACCCAAGGCTGCACATGCCTTCACATTAGGATTACTGGAGAACATTTACATTATTCATAAACCATATTTATTAAAAGCTGGGACAAAACTTTACATAATCGAGCAGCTCGCAGCAATGTCGGAATCGATCATAAACAATTGGATTTCATCGGATCCGATGGAGCGGGGGATTGTAAAATTAGTAAGGGTACCACCCTGAAAGGAGCTCAGATTTTTGCTGAACAAGCTGATGTATAATTCAGCAGCCAAAAACTGCACCGCTCTTCTCCTATGCTGCTTTGTAAATTCGGGACACAGTGGAAGAAGCAGCAAATCCACTGGGAACCCGATACTAACTGACATGCCTTGATACCAGAACGTATGCAGAGGCTGAAATATATTAGGACATCTATTCTGCTTTCTTTTCTTATTATTGTGTCAAGCTTTGAGCTGCATAGAGGAGACAAAGAGAGCAGCCTGTCAGAAGTTCCCAGTAAAAATATCTTTTCAAGGGTACAGCTTGTGCAGAGAAAGATGTGCCTGCTGCTAAATTGGGCGTAGAGTGACTAAGGGGAAAAGAAGCAAGGCAGAGGTGACTTTTACGCAGGTTACAAATCCCAACCAATGACACAGCAGTTTCTATGATCATGTCGGTAAGATGTGCTGTATGTTCTAAAACAAAAAGACCCTTCTATTGGTTGGATGACTATTGGCAAAGCATTCAGCAAAACATCCAAGGTAGTTAGAGTGAGGACATATAGAAGCATACTACTTCTAAATGACAAAATCCCAACATTTAGCTCACAGAAGCCATGTAACACCAAGACTTTGAACAACGATTAGTGAATTAATCTTTAGTCAAATGACAGAAAATTAATCTGCATCTACTTTTTAATCATCAATTTATCAGTTGAGCAAAAATGCTAAAATTGTATGTTAGGATTTGCTAAACTTCTTCATCATATATGTTAGTAAATTAAATATCTGTTGGGGTTCTGGACTGTTTTGGACATCCTATTATATCTTCTTAAACTGTTGGCCATTTCCACTACTTTATAGACCAAGTTATTGATTGATTAATTGAGGAAATCAATAATATCTTGATGATGAAACCAATCTTTAGTTGCAGCCCTACTTTGCTGGAACAAAAACGTAGGGAAGTTATAAAGTGTATAAATAATTTCCGAACTCTTTGTGAAGGGCTCGCAAATCAAAATTTTGTTTCTATTTAAAACTCTTTCGTCAGCAAATGAAGAATGACGGATACGTAAAAAAAAAAATGCTCGACCTTGGAGCTAACAGCGTGAAAGCGATAGGGAGCCATGCAGGTCTGTATGATGGTCAATGCCTCACATCATGGCCATCGATCCCCATTAAACCTCAGTAATCACATTGCATCCCAAGAGAGCTGAAAGATGTGAAAACGTCTGTTTAGCAAGATATGATCAAACGGTTTTGTGAGCTGTGTTGCCCCGAAGTGTGCGAGCTCAGCAGGGTTGTCGATTCACAAAACCCTG